ACATTCCACCTGTTCAATATCCTAACGCTGAGAAAACATTTAAGTGTCTCTTTGGCTCATTTGGGTAATCAGTTTTCATCTCTGTTCCTTTACTACCCAAACCAAATAGACGTGTCATTTATGTATATTAGAAATAGAACTGGTCCCAGCACCGATCCTTGAAGTACTCCACTCGTTATCGTTCGCCAGTCCGACTTTTCGCCTCTGTTACTCTCAGGCTCCTTCCTGTTAGGTGGTTCCTTACCCATGCTAGGGCTTTTCCGCTTACTGCCGCCTGCCTCTCAAGTTTGAATATCAGTCTCATGTGCGGTACTGTACCAAAGGCTTTTTGACAGTCCAGAAATATGCAGTCTGCCCATCCTTCCTTGTCCTGTCTTATTCTTGTTACTTATCACAAAATTCCAGAAGGTTTGTTAGGCATGATTTCCCTTCTCTGAACCCCTGTTGGTGTTTGTTTACAAACCCAATGTTCTCTAAGTGTGTAACCAGTCTTAACCAGATTCTTCTCTCAAGTACTTTCCAGGGTATGCTTGTTAGTGGTACTGGTCTGTAGTTAAGTGCCCCTTCCTTATCTCCTTTCTTGAAAATTGCTCCCACATTTAGTGTTCCTCAAAGACACTACAAGCTCCTACCTCCAGTACCTGCGGTCGAACCGTCACAGTGTGTAGCTCTAGCTCCTGTCCCCTGGCCGGTGGTCTCTCACACTTGACGATAACTGAGCCTCTCTCTGGCTCCTATTTGTCTTCGTTATCCTTCCGTGATAACTTCAATGTTCCTGCCACAGTCACCTTGTGTACCAGCCCCTGCCACAGTGCCTTAGTAAACCCCAGGTGACCTTTGTAAACCCCAGGTGACCTTAGTAAGCCCCAGGTGACCTTAGTAAACCCCAGGTGACCTTAGTAAACCCCAGGTGACCTTAGTAAATCCCAGGTGACCTTAGTAAGCCCCAAGTGACCTTAGTAAAACTAGATTGTGTTGGATTCATTAATGTTTCTCGAGATGTAAACGGTCAGTGTTGGCCATTATCAGTTCAAGCAAGTCTCTCATGTTAGCGTTAATTTGTTAACAGTTGTAGGAGTAAGAACACCAAGAGTAACAGTAATAACAGAACCAGCGACAACTGTAACAACAGTAACAGTACCAACAGTAAGAGTTGACTCACCCAGTGCACGAAGGTCATGAAGGCGACCATGCCCATCTCAGGGAAGCAGAAGAGAGTCATCACCAACACCCACACCAGCAGCGCCCGCGCCTTCCTCTGTGGGACACACACACACACACACACACACACACACACACACACACACACACACACACACACACACACACACACATACACACACACACACGTTAGTTATAATAATAAGAATAATAATAAGAATAGTAACAATATTAATCATAATAATTAGTATATAGTACTAATAATAATGTATAAAAACCCCACACTTATGTTACTATATTGTTGCTATACAATAATATAGCTGCTTTTCAGTTCAGTCATATTGTTGCTATAATGTTAAGAAGTTAAATACAGCAAGCCTTTCGCACTCTCCTGAGTGCTTTATCAAGGTCTCGGTATATACCATCAACAGGACTTACATCTCAATGACCTGTACAGGATTTTCTTCAGGACGTAAGGAAGAATGACCCCCACTGATAAAGGTCAATTGGTTAGGTTTGAGGTCACAGCGTTTTTCACTAATGTGTCTTTACAAAAGACACTAAATATTGTAAAAAACACAAGATTTATCAGGACATTTTGGAACTCCTATCCCTAACGGGGTATTTATGATTGATTGATTGATGAAGATTAAGTCATCCAAAAGGTGGCACGGGCATGAATAGCCCATATGTGGTGGCCCTTTGGAGCCATTACCAGTATCAAGAGCTGATACTGGAGATCTGTGGAGGTGCGACTGAACCCCTACGTGACGGGAGATGTCTCCCGTCGGTATTTATGACCATCCATATAGCACGGGCTATGGCGAGCCCCGGTATTTATGAGCGTATTACCATTTATGTAATAAACAATTAGTTTAGTTTAGATGAGGTGGTTTTCTGAACAGTTCGGGATGGGTTCTGCTCTCTCCCGGGATGGGTTCTGCTCTCTCCCGGGATGGGTTCTGCTCTCTCCCGGGATGGGTTCTGCTCTCTCCCGGGATGGGTTCTGCTCTCTCCCGGGATGGGTTCTGCTCTCTCCCGGGATGGGTTCTGCTATCTCCCGGGATGGGTTCTCTCATTCTTGCAAATTTATATATGTAATGTTTTGAAACAATTAGTAACCACAGCAACAATTGATGGAAAAGACCCCAGAGCTTGCTTCAGATATGTTGCTGATATGTTCGCTATATCTGATGAAAATAATCATTATCAGGATAGTTACTTAGAGGGTTTTAATACCCTACAACATTCCATACAGTTTACTATGGAAAAAGAAGTTAATAAAAGTCAATAAAATAGAAGTTAATAAAAGTTAATAAAAAATGATTCACAACATGGTTTTACAAATGACCGTTCATGTTTAACAAATTTGCTATCATTTTATAACAGCATAGTTGAGGCAGTTGATAGTGGTAAGGATTTCGATGTTGTGTACCTTGACTTTAACAAAGCTTTTGATACAGTCCCACATGAAAGACATTAAAAAGATAGAGGCTCATGGTATTGTTGATGCTATATTAAGTTGGATTAGGGGATGGCTATACCAAAGGAAACAGAGTTAATTAGTATAAATGGGGTTAAGTCAGAGTGGGAAAATGTTGTAAGTGGAGTGCCTCAAGGCTCTGTCCTGAAACAGAACCAGAACCACATAACCATGTATCCCTCACCACCACACCTGCTCCACACTCACCACCACACCTGCACCACACTCACCACCACACCTGCGCCACACTCACCACCACACCTGCGCCACACTCACCACCACACCTGCACCACACTCACCACCACACCTGCACCACACTCACCACCACACCTGCGCCACACTCACCACCACACCTGCGCCACACTCACCACCACACCTGCAGCACACTCACCACACACCTGCACCACACTCACCACCACACCTGCACCACACTCACCACCACACCTGCGCCACACTCACCACCACACCTGCACCACACTCACCACATAAAGGCAGGAGAAGGTGTACCTTATAGAGGCCGAGAAGCATCCAGACGGAGGCGGCCGCCACGATGATGTAGCCGAGACTGAGGAGGTAGGCGGGGGCGGGGATGGGCGGCACTCCTGCTTCCCGCTCCTTCACGCTCCCGCCCGACACTGTGGGGGAGAGGCCGTGTGTCAGTGTATTTATCAGGCAGATTAAACAACGCTTAGACACTTTGAGAAGCTCTTACACATATACTAATTTCAGGACATTACATAAAACTCGTATCCAACTATTTTACCGTTCTTATTACCATTTCCCTCTGTTAGTTCTGCTTTCAGTCTCTATTATTCTTTGTAAAGTGTTGTTAAGAATTCTTCCTTTACATAACCCAACAACGCTAACCTAACCTTATATACCCCCACCTACCTTAAACCTTGAACCTTGAACCTTGAAGTATTTCTGGGGATTAGCGTCCCGCGGCCCGGTCGTCGACCAGGCTTCCTCGGTGCTGGACTGGTCAACCAGGGTGTTTGACGCGGCTGCTCAGAGCCTGACGTATGAATCACAGCCTGGTTGATCAGGTATACCTAACCTTCGCTTATCTTATATAAATTTTCACATACTTTTCAAATAATTTATAGGAATGTCAATTTACGACATCTAGTCTTTACATATATTCTTAGTTCATTTAACTAATTTAACTAATTACCTAATTATCTAACTAATTTTTAACTTAGTTCATTTAACTAATTTTCATTTAACTATTCATTATATATATATATGTAACTTCTTATCATATGTATATATATGTTTTCTTAAGGACATTCATGTTTATCATTTTGTGTTTCAAATTCATTCTGTTACATTTCATAGGATTTTGTTAAAGATCAGGTGCTGAAACATTATCAAGGGATACGTGCTTAGGGCCCGCGCAGGAATATCTCTGCAAAAAAAAAAAAAATCGAGGGATATTGTTAAAAATGGTTTTTTTTATGCATTTCAAGAGATATTTATTAAAGATGGGATGTTCAAGAATATCAACGGATATTTGTTAGAAATATATGTTTTAAGCACTTTGTACTTTTTTTTTTACTTAAAGTTCATCAAGTCGCTCATAAGTTATATTTATTATGTTTAATATAATTTGTTCTCATTCTTTGACCTTTAACCTAACCTTTCAGATGTAATTTATTGTGTTGGATATTGTAGTTCTTATTCTTTGTCTTTAACCTAACCTTACAGATATAGTTTTTCCTTCTCCTCTTGATATGTTGTGTTAAATATTTTTACTCAAATCTGCCTTCCCTTCCTCGTTCGATCTTTATTCTACTTATCCTTCCCTTTCCTCTCTTAATCTAATATCCCCTTGTACCTAACCTTTCAGTGTATGTGTATCCATCTCACTGTCTTAACTTTGTAACTCTTTATCAGTCTATATTTTTTTTGTCACTGCCTTTTTCTCTGTCTTTACCTCTGCCTCCGTCTATGTCTTAGTGTTTTCTCCCAGACTCAGACTTTCTTTTTTTCTGTCTCCCTCAGTCAGTCTCTTTTCTTCATTTCTCTGTCCCTTTTTATCTCTCTCTCTCTCTCTCTCTCTCTCTCTCTCTCTCTCTCTCTCTCTCTCTCTCTCTCTCTCTCTCTCTCTCTCTCTCTCTCTTCTCTCACTCACTGTCTCTCACTCACTCACTGTCTCTCTCTCACTCACTGTCTCTCTCTCACTCACTGTCTCTCTCTCACTCGCCGTCTCTCTCTCACTCACTGTCTCTCTCTCTCTCTCTCTCTCTCTCTCTCTCTCTCTCTCTCTCTCTCTCTCTCACTGTCTCTCTCTCTCTCTCACTGTCTCTCTCTCTCTCTCTGTCTATATATACTCTTTTTCAGTTTTTGTTTTCTGTCAATGTATTTTTTATTGTCTCTGTGTCTATATCTTAGTGTTCTAGTTTATCTTTCAATCTGCTTTTTCTCTGTCTCATTCTGCCTCGATGTCTTATCTTTTGTATCTCTTTCTCAGTCTTTCTGGCAATGTCTTTTTCACTGGCTCTGGCTCTGCTATATCTTAGTTCTTATATCCATAAGAACTCTTTTTAAGACCGGTGAGGATTAAAACTCTGAAAAAATTGGATCTTAAACTGGTCTCTGACAAATTAAGGTCTTAAACTGGACTTTAAACAATTTCGGTCTTAAACTGGTCTCTGAACAGACTCTGAACAAATGGAGTTTTAAACTGTAAAAACTTTGACAAATTTTACCCAAAAACCATGACACATCAGCGAGTAATAAAATTCTGACTAATTTTTCCCTGAAAAGGGTGGAGCACAAAAGTGACATTTGGGAGTTCGTTAAATCTGGTGGTCCGCAGCAAGGATTTTGACTCAGAATTTTCCCCATAAGAACTCTTTAGATACACAGCGCGAACATTCCATAAGTTGGCTAAATACGGAGGAGCACAGGGAGAACATTCCCTCCCCCCCTCGTCCCCAAAAAAAAGTTCGCCTTAAGCCTCCTTTCCCACTACTACAGCTGCCTCAGACTCCTGCAGCAGCTGCCTCAGGCTCCTGCAGCAGCTGCCTCAGACTCCTGCAGCAACTGCCTCAGACTCCTGCAGCAACTGCCTCAGACTCCTGCAGCAGCAGCCTCAGATTCCTGTAGCCGCTGCCTGAGGCTCTTGCAGCAGCTGTGAAAAGCCAGAGGTGAGTGAGAGACACCGTGATACATATCCACCAAGGCCTCACGCACTCACTGTTCAAGTCTAATTACTCTCTCTCTCTCTCTCTCTCTCTTGTCAAGTATCAGCTTCCGCTTCCTGTGTTTACCCTTGGTTGAGAGGAGTGCTGCTGGGAGCACGGCACTAGTTCCTGTCACTCTTAAACTGCAGCATTCCAACAGCCGACCCTAGACACCAGGAAGGAAAGTGGAACTGCTCCAGACCTTTCAAGTCTTGATTCACACCTGCTGTTGATCCCGTTACCCACGAGGCCAGGCAACACTTGTTACCCACGAGGCCAGGCAACACTTGTTACCCACGAGGCCAGGCAACACTTGTTACCCACGAGGCCAGGCAACACTTGTTACCCACGAGGCCAGGCAACACTTGTTACCCACGAGGCCAGGCAACACTTGTTACCCACGAGGCCAGGCAACACTTGTTACCCACGAGGCCAGGCAACACTTGTTACCCACGAGGCCAGGCAACACTTGTTACCCACGAGGCCAGGCAACACTTGTTACCCACGAGGCCAGGCAACACTTGTTACCCACGAGGCCAGGCAACACTTGTTACCACGAGGCCAGGCAACACTTGTTACCCACGAGGCCAGCAACACTTGTTACCCACGAGGCCAGGCAACACTTGTTACCCACGAGGCCAGGCAACACTTGTTACCCACGAGGCCAGGCAACACTTGTTACCCACGAGGCCAGGCAACACGTTTAATAATCACTTTATTCAGATTAAGCTAAATGGACAATGGAGCAAGAATTAAGATGTGTAACCAGTGCAGTTGTGACACTGTCAGTGCCTGAGGACATAGCGGCCTGTGGGCCAGTGTGATTGGCCAGCTGTGTGTGAACCAGTGCGTAGGTCGTAAAGTGGTGTGGTGAGCGTGTGGCCAGGTGGTGTGGCCAGGTGATGAGGCCATAGATGCAGCACAGGAAGGTGTGGAGACAGTGTGGAAAGTGATGAATGACGTTTTGTTTACGATTACAATGTCCTGCAAAGAGGAACTATAGTACACTTGAGAGGCATGCGCTAGTGATCACATTCACATTACAACGGAACCGGTACATCTTGCTAGACCATGAGATGTGGCTCAGAAGCGATCACAAACCTCTTAAGTATGTGTTTGAGTCCAAGGAAGCATGTCAGCGGTTGGCACGGTGGGTCACCTCGCTCTCAGAGTCTAACATTGCCAACTTTGAACATGTACCAGTAAAAAGCAATGTGGTCGCTGACGCGTTGTCAAGGTGTCACAATGTAGCAGTGGTGAGTGAAAGTGGGGAAGAAGAGGTGTCGTGGAATGTGAGGGAGTTGATACGGAGTCAGGAAGGTCACCCCCTGTGGGGGGAGGTTAGGAAGTTTTTGAGGGGTCAGCGTGCGGAGTTGAGGAAGTCACTTCCAGCACCAGTGGATGAGTTTGTGATTGAAGATGAGGTGTTGTATCATGTTGGTAGGGCCTCGGGTATACGGTGTGAACCAGTATACCAGGCAGTCTTGACACCGGAGTTCCAGAGGACTGCAATGTATCTGTGTCATAACATCCCAGCACCAAAACATGAGGGGGGGGGGGGGGTGTCGAAGACGTTGCAGAGGGCACGTCCAAGGTTCTACTGGCCATCCATGGGTAAAGATATCAAGGTCTATGTCGCCTCTTGTGGCAGTTGTCTGAGGTACAAGGCACATAGGTTGGGGGCGGAACCTTTGCGTAGGTAGCCGGATGTGAGTACTCCCCTCAAGAGAGTACACATAGATCTCATTGAGCCGCTACCACAAGCTCATTCTGGGGCTAGATACATATTTGTAACAGTGGATACACTCACACGGTTCACTGTGGTGAGTGCACTCCGTTCTAAGTCAGCAGAGGAAGTATCGACCCAGGCCATGGTGGAACGGGTGTTATCCAGGTTTGGGGGTCCTCAACCGCTTGTTTCGGACCAAGGATCCGAATTTATAAACCAAGTGTTCCAAGGCATCGCGAGTGTTTAGCAATTCAAACAAACAACCGAAGGCATGAAACAAAGGCTTCTGGTGAAGCTACATCTAAGGACTTCATCAGAGTCATATTATTGGTGTTGGTAGCCATGGGTAGAGCGTGTGGAGTTGTGCCTAGGCGTCATTAATAGAGTGATACCATGTGTGGTGTAGTATAGTGGTATTTGGGTGCTCGGTGTTGTGGAGTATATGGTGTGAGTGTGGCGTTGTAGTGTGTTGTGTAGTGGTCGTTAAGGTAATGAGGGGATCATAAACAAACCTGGGCGAAGGGTCTGGTTGTGGGAGTGTTTGTGGCGTTATAATGAGGTCATCAGTGGCTGGGATGACCCGAGGGTGAGGTGTGTGTCGGCGTGGGGAAGTCTTAGGGATGAGGTGCAATATTGTTAATCTCAGGAGTCACCTGCATAAGGGTCAGCTGCAATTGTTTTGCAGCTACGCCTAGCTTATGTAAGGGGAGGGAGTAAGGAGCCGAGAGGATGTCATGAACACTGTACCAGGAACACTGTACCAAGAACACTTAACAATGTAACGTACAGAATATGGAAAGAACTGAAAAATGAAGGTGATGGGCATAGGCTAAGGGAGATAGAGAGGTGTGAGGGAGGGGTGAGGTGTGAGGGAGGGGTGAGGGAGGGTGAGGTGTGAGGGAGGGGTGAGGTGTGAGGGAGGGGTGAAGGGGGGTGAGGTGTGAGGGAGGGGTGAGGGAGGGGTGAGGTGTGAGGGAGGGGTGAGGGAGGTGTGGTCAGGAAAAAGGAAAGTTTGGAATGAAAGGAAGAGACTGAAATCAAGGAGGAAATTACTAGAGAAGAAAGTAAGATGGTTTGCTGTCACCATCCATTCAGGAAAATCATATAAAAGACAAGGAATGGACCAGGGGTGGTGACCCTGTGGAACACCAGGGGTGGTGACCCTGTGGAGCACCAGGGGTGGTGACCCTGTGGAGCACCAGGGGTGGTGACCCTGTGGAACACCAGGGGTGGTGACCCTGTGGAGCACCAGGGGTGGTGACCCTGTGGAGCACCAGGGGTGGTGACCCTGTGGAACACCAGGGGTGGTGACACTGTGGAGCACCAGGGGTGGTGACACTGTGGAGCACCAGGGGTGGTGACACTGTGGAGCACCAGGGGTGGTGACACTGTGGAGCACCAGGGGTGGTGACACTGTGGAGCACCAGGGGTGGTGACACTGTGGAGGGGTGGTGACACTGTGGAGCACCAGGGGTGGTGACACTGTGGAGCACCAGGGGTGGTGACCCTGTGGAGCAGCACCAGGGGTGGTGACCCTGTGGAGCACCAGGGGTGGTGACCCTGTGGAGCACCAGGGGTGGTGACACTGTGGAACACCAGGGGTGGTGACCCTGTGGAGCACCAGGGGTGGTGACACTGTGGAGGGGTGGTGACACCAGGGGTGGTGACACTGTGGAACACCAGGGGTGGTGACACTGTGGAACACCAGGGGTGGTGACCCTGTGGAACACCAGGGGTGGTGACACTGTGGAACACCAGGGGTGGTGACACTGTGGAGCACCATGGGTGGTGACACTGTGGAACACCAGGGGTGGTGACACTGTGGAACACCAGGGGTGGTGACCCTGTGAACACCAGGGGTGGTGACCCTGTGGAGCACCAGGGGTGGTGACACTGTGGAGCACCAGGGGTGGTGACACTGTGGAGCACCAGGGGTGGTGACACTGTGGAGCACCAGGGGTGGTGACCCTGTGGAGCACCAGGGGTGGTGACACTGTGGAGCACCAGGGGTGGTGACACTGTGGAGCACCAGGGGTGGTGACCCTGTGGAGCACCAGGGGTGGTGACACTGTGGAACACCAGGGGTGGTGACACTGTGGAGCACCAGGGGTGGTGACCCTGTGGAGCACCAGGGGTGGTGACACTGTGGAGCACCAGGGGTGGTGACCCTGTGGAGCACCAGGGGTGGTGACACTGTGGAGCACCAGGGGTGGTGACACTGTGGAGCACCAGGGGTGGTGACCCTGTGGAGCACCAGGGGTGGTGACACTGTGGAGCACCAGGGGTGGTGACCCTGTGGAGCACCAGGGGTGGTGACACTGTGGAGCACCAGGGGTGGTGACACTGTGGAGCACCAGGGGTGGTGACCCTGTGGAGCACCAGGGGTGGTGACACTGTGGAGCACCAGGGGTGGTGACCCTGTGGAACACCAGGGGTGGTGACCCTGTGGACACCAGGGGTGGTGACACTGTGGAACACCAGGGGTGGTGACCCTGTGGAGCACCAGGGGTGGTGACACTGTGGAGCACCAGGGGTGGTGACCCTGTGGAACACCAGGGGTGGTGACCCTGTGGAGCACCAGGGGTGGTGACCCTGTGGAGCACCAGGGGTGGTGACACTGTGGAACACCAGGGGTGGTGACCCTGTGGAACACCAGGGGTGGTGACACTGTGGAACACCAGGGGTGGTGACCCTGTGGAACACCAGGGGTGGTGACAACACCAGGGGTGGTGACCTGTGGAACACCAGGGGTGGTGACCCTGTGGAGCACCAGGGGTGGTGACCCTGTGGAGCACCAGGGGTGGTGACACTGTGGAGCACCAGGGGTGGTGACACTGTGGAGCACCAGGGGTGGTGACACTGTGGAGCACCAGGGGTGGTGACCCTGTGGAGCACCAGGGGTGGTGACCCTGTGGAGCACCAGGGGTGGTGACACTGTGGAGCACCAGGGGTGGTGACACTGTGGAGCACCAGGGGTGGTGACACTGTGGAGCACCAGGGGTGGTGACACTGTGGAGCACCAGGGGTGGTGACCCTGTGGAACACCAGGGGTGGTGACACTGTGGAGCACCAAGGGTGGTGACACTGTGGTGCACCAGGGGTGGTGACACTGTGGAGCACCAGGGGTGGTGACCCTGTGGAGCACCAGGGGTGGTGACCCTGTGGAGCACCAGGGGTGGTGACACTGTGGAGCACCAGGGGTGGTGACACTTTGGAGCACCAGGGGTGGTGACCCCACAGACACATCAATGGTAACATGCTGTCCATTGAAAACAGGAATTTTCTCAAATATAAATCAATATTCTTACATATTAGCATATTGTGCATATTTAGGCATTGCTTAAGTTAGGTTAGGTGTTTAGGTTCTGTTGGCGATTATTTGTATTTGTAGTACGTGGGTGAAGCATTTATAGCGTTGTGATTCGAACAAAATTCGTCAGTGAAGCACTTGTTCTGGAAGTGTTCGAACGTCAACAGTTGTGAGTGGTGTGTAAACCGTTTTTCATTCGTAAACAGTGGGTTTGGCGGGTGCATGGAATGGACTTCAGCTTTTGTTTATAAGGACGGGCTGGAAAATTAAGAAGAAATATGGGAATTGATGAGAATTGTCGAGACATCAGGGCGAGGACATTGTTTATGACACACAATTGAGAGCCCTTTAACGCTAGTCCGGCGGTGTTAACTAGTAAAGAAATGGAAATGATGATAGATGCTTTAATCATTACACTCTCACCTTCAGCTTCAACAATCCACCACACACACACTCACCTTCAACTTCAACAATCCACCACACACACACTCACCTTCAGCTTCAACAATCCACCACACACACACTCACCTTCAGCTTCAACAATCCACCACACACACACACACTCACCATCAGCTTCAACAATCCACCACACACACACTCACCTTCAGCTTCAACAATCCACCACACACACACACACTCACCATCAGCTTCAACAATCCACCACACACACACACACTCACCATCAGCTTCAACAATCCACCACACACACACACACTCACCTTCAGCTTCAACAATCCACCAAACAGAGATGATGAAGGCCACGAGGTACACCATCTGGAAGAACAAACACCGGATATTAATTAATTTCTTTATTTATATATATACAAGAAGTTACATTGGGTTTTATGAGAGTACATAACATGATGTGTTTACATTCTTGTAAAGCCACTAGTACGCGCAGCGTTTTGGGCAGGTCCTTAATCTAACAGATAATATTAAGTTGGTAATTTCTAGCAAAATTTATAAAATGTTAATAGGGACATTGTAAGAAAATTTGAGAGATTAGTAGGCATATTAAAGTACATTAAAGCACATTAAAAGCTTTGATTGATAGCATTGATAGCTAAATTGATATGACGAAGATTAGTAGGCACATTGAAGCACACTGATAGCACATATAAGATAACAGCAATATTTAATGGTAAAGTTGTAAGGCTTAAGTATATATATTGGGGGATTGCGTAGCACACGATATGTGTTCAATATAACAACCATGATATAAGATGATATCATTGAATACAATGGTAAAGTTATATGGCTTAGATTTATATATATTGAGGGGATTGGATAGCATAAGATACAGACACAGTGGATACAGATGCAGAGGATAAACTCGCACTGGACAGTGAGCGAGTTTAAAGCACAAAGTAGGAAACAAAGATGAAATTAGATACTTTTTGGTTTTATTTTTGAATAAGGCAAAAGTTGAACAGCTTTTCAATTCGTTAGACAGTGAGTTCCATATACTTGCTTCCTTTATTTGCATAGAGTGTTTAAACAGATTAAGTTTAATTCTGGGGATATCAAAGAGATATTATGTCTGGTGTGGTGGGCATGTGTTCTATTACATCTGTCCAGAAGATTTTCAGAACAGGGTTTGCACTTAAGAAAAGGGTTTTATTGGCACAAGAGAATGTGTGGAGTGAATTTATGTTTAGCATCTTTAAGGATTTAAACAGGGAAGCTGTGTTTTGTCTGAAAGCAGAGTTTGTTATTGTCCTGAGAGCAGATTTCGGCTGGGTGATGATGGGCTTGAGGTAGTTTGCAGAGATTGAACCCCATGCACAGATACCATAAGTAAGATAGGGATAGATAAGTGCATAATAGAGTGAAAGGAGAGCAGAGTAGGGCACATAATATCTTATCTTAGAGAGTATACCAACTGTTTTAGAGACTTTCTTAGTTATGTGTTGTATGTGGGTGCTGAAGTTGAGTCTCTTATCTAAGTATAAGCCAAGGAACTTTTCATCATTTTTATTGCTGATGTTAACATTGTCTATCTGAAGCTGAATTGCATTTGTTGATTTGCTTCCAAATAAGATGTAGTAGGTCTTTTCTGTGTTTAGTGTTTGTTGGTTGACATCCATAAGTGGACATCTTTAATTCATTATTCACAACATTATTTAGTATGTGCGGGGTTGGGGTATGAGTAGATGAGGGTAGTATCATCAGCAAACAATATAGATTTAAGCATGATAGTGAAAGACAAACACAGTTACATAAGGTGACATATGCACAAAAGATGGGAATACCAACACAAATTTATCCAAATATCTCAAGCTTTAAATTTTGTATTATTATTTTTCTACCACAGACGTGGCCACACATTTACAATGCTAACCAGCATATATACATGTATGACAAAATCACAAGCTTTAGAAGAAAAGCAAATGCAGATGTTGTTTGTTGCTGCACCCCGCAACTGCACCCCCGCAACTACAACCTTGGCCTGTAAACCTTTTCACTATTACTTATAGTGATTGAGTAACTGTGACAGACAGGATCTTCCCGCTCTAAATCCATGTTGTCCTGGGTTGTGTAGCTCATTATTTTCCATAAAACTAGAAATTTGATTCCTAATCACTCTTTCAAAAACGCTTTGATCCCTAATCACTCAAAAAAATCTCTCTTTTTATTATGTGTGATGTCATTGCAACTGGTCTATAATTTTTTGCCAAAGCTTTACTACCCCCCTTGTGCAGAGGAGCTATATCTGCAGATTTAAGTGCTGCTGGTATCTCCCCTGTATCCAGGCTCTTTCTCCATATTACGCTGAGTGCTCGCGCTACTGGTACTTTACATATATATATATATATATATATTTTTTTTTTTTTGAGATATGTACAAGAGTTGTTACATTCTTGTACAGCCACTAGTACGCGTAGCGTTTCGGGCAAGTCCTTAATCCTATGGTCCCTGGAATACGATCCTCGCCGCGAAGAATCGTTGTTACAACCAAGTACACATTTTACTGTTGCGTTAAACAGAGGCAACAGTTAAGGATTTGGGCCCAGTAAATCCTCCCCGGCCAGGATACGAACCCGTGACAAAGCGCTCGCGGAACGTCAGGCGAGTGTCTTACCACTACATCACGGAGACTGTGAAGTCTCCGCGGAGAATATTAATATTGAATTCTACGAGTCAGGCCCGGGAGCTGACTTCCCAGTCTCCCCCCCCCCCCATGCTTCTCTATCACTGTAACAGGCGGGAGACGGGCTGGCAATAACTACAGGTGATCACAATAACGATATAATGACATGTTAGCAGCCGGAGAAAGGGTCGACTTTCCCCAGCACTGAGCCAGCAATATTGACCCTTATGGCTGACTCACCACACCCGCCCCCCAGCCCTTTCCTCCACCCACCTCCCCAGAGACCCTCACAACGTTAGTATTAATGGTGTATGTTTTAATGGTAATGGGACGTTAGTGGGGACTGACAGAATAGTAAATATGTACCTTATTCATACATCTGACTCGCACATCTGACTCAGACACCTGGGGCCAGATTCATGAAGCAGTTACGGAAGCACTTACGAACCTGTATATCTTTTCTCAATCTTTGGCGGCTTTGTTTACAATTATTAAACAGTCAATGAGCTCCGAAGCACCAGGAGGCTGTTTATAACAACAACAAAAGTTGATTGGGAAGTTTTCATGCTTGTAAACTGTTTAATAAATGTAACCAAAGCCGTCAAAAATTGAGGAAAGATGTACAGGTTCGTAAATACTTGCGTAACTGCTTCGTGAATCTGGCCCCTGATTCGTAAGTCTCTTTCCGACACCTGTGTTATTAACCTATTGATTACACCTTCCATTTACACTTGGCCTGTAAACCTATTTCTTACACCTGACTCGATACGTCTGACACATACACCTGACATATATTTTATACATCTGTCACGGGGGAAGACGAGGAGCAGTGCCTGGTAGAGTTCCAGCGGCGACACCCCGTCACTGTTCTCAGTCACTGTTCTCCGTCACTGTTCTCCGTCACTGCTCTCCGTCACTACTCCCCGTCACTGTTCCCCGTCACTGTTCCCCGTCACTGTTCTCCGTCACTGTTCATTGTCACTGTTCTCCGTCACTGCTCTCTGTCACTGTTCTCCGTCACTGCTCTCTGTCACTGTTCTCCGTCACTGCTCCCCGTCACTGTTCTCCGTCACTGCTCTCCGTCACTGTTCCCCGTCACTGTTCTCCGTCACTACTCCCCGTCACTGTTCCCCGTCACTGTTCCCCGTCACTGTTCCCCGTCACTGTTCTCAGTCACTGTTCTCAGTCACTGCTCTCCGTCACTGCTCCCCGTCACTGTTCTCCGTCACTGCTCCCCGTCACTGTTCCCCGTCACTACTCCCCGTCACTGTTCTCAGTTACTGTTCTCCCGTCACTGCTCCCCGTCACTGCTCTCCGTCACTGTTCTCCGTCACTGTTCTCCGTCACTGCTCTCCGTCACTGCTCTCCGTCACTGCTCTCCGTCACTGTTCTCCGTCACTGCTCTCCGTCACTGCTCCCCGTCACTGTTCCCCGTCACTGCTCCCCGTCACTGTTCCCCGTCACTGCTCCCCGTCACTGTTCTCCGTCACTGCTCCCCGTCACTGTTCTCCGTCACTGCTCCCCGTCACTGTTCCCCGTCACTACTCCCCGTCACTGTTCCCCGTCACGGCACCCTGTCACTGTTCCCCGTCACTGCTCCCCGTCACTGCTCTCCGTCACTGCTCCCCGTCACTGCACCATGTCACTGCTCCCCGTCACTGCTCCCCGTCACTGCACCCCGTCACTGCACCATGTCACTGCTCCCCGTCACTGCACCATGTCACTGCTCCCCGTCACTGCACCATGTCACTGCTCCCCGTCACTGCACCATGTCACTGCTCCCCGTCACTGCACCATGTCACTGCTCCCCGTCACTGCACCATGTCACTGCTCCCCGTCACTGCACCATGTCACTGCTCCCCGTCACTGCACCATGTCACTGCTCCCCGTCACTGCTCCCCGTCACTGCTATCTAGTATCCTTACTGTGGACTCTGTAGTCACTTCCCCTGGTGATGAAGTGGGGTCTTGACTCCTGTGTACACCCGCCCCTATAGACAGGGACCTCCGGCACCTTGCCCAACCACTTGGGCTGGACGGTAGAGCCACCGTCTCGCTTCATGCAGGTCGGCGTTCAATTCCCCACCGTCCAACTGGCTGGGCACCACCAGTGCTGAGGGCCTGTGCTACTTGATCAACCAGGCTGTGATTCATACGTCAGGCTGCGAGCACCCGCGTCCAACAGCCTTGTTGACCGGATGACAAACCGGGAGGCCTGGTCGGAGACCGGACCACGGGCCTTGTTGATCCCCGGAAGCTACACAAAGTAACCACAAGGCCGGTGGGTACCTCTGTTACCACTCACGGTGATATGTTGTCTGGTCAACAGCTTTAGTCTTGTGATGCTGTCGTTTCCAGACATCCTGTGATGGTGCTCCAATATTTACCAGTCTCTCATCTTGGGTCACCCCCTCTTGTAGTATTTGGAGCAGTTGTGGACACTCCACGCAACCTGTGGGCACTCCACGCAACCTGTGGGCACTCCACGCAACCTGTGGGCACTCCACGCAACCTGTGGGCACTCCACGCAACCTGTGGGCACTCCACGCAACCTGTGGGCACTCCACGCAACCTGTGGGCACTCCACGCAACCTGTGGGCACTCCACGCAACCTGTGGGCACTCCACGCAACCTGTGGGCACTCCACGCAACCTGTGGGCACTCCACGCAACCTGTGGGCACTC